ATCTACCAGGATGATAAAGATGAAACATGGCTGGACATTTCAGCAAGACAATGACCCCAAACAGACTTTGTATATATGGATCACTTGGGTTGTTACCGACATCTGGTGAAAATTTCATGTCATTAGCACCTCTAGTAATATATTTACTGAGAAAAATGGTGACGTGCTCAATACTTATTTTGCCCGCTGTATTTCTATGCTCTGCACTGAATTTTCTCACTTTAAGGTTGTTGACAGTAACCCCAGACTCCCGCTCCGTAATCTAATACTGGACAAACACAAGATCTGTACAATTCAGTATACATCTTATAGCCCAGATCACAACAATATTCACTTTTTTATAAGTGCACCTAGTGCTCTACCACCTGAGTCTGACTGAAATTTTATTCCTTATTCAAATGTTAAATATTCATCCACAATAAATCCCAAATATTTATATATTTTTTGTAATAGAATACTGTTGTGTTTTGTGAAATGTTGTTGTGTTTTTTGCGATGTAGTTGTGTGTAGTGATTTGTTGTTGTGGTTTGCACTTCAGGGCCACCGTACATATGTCTATCCATCCATCCATTTTCTGTACACGCTTCTTCCTTTTCAAATTTAACTAACACACATTCAGAACTAATTAAAATACTTATTGCAGTTTTTTTATTGTTTTATTTATAAGTTTATCTTTATGATTTTAATGTTGCTAAATTTTAACACAAGTAGTTTTAACTTATCTGATCTTATTTAACTGCAGTACCAGTGGTTGTCCATGTGGGGTCGGTGTTGCTTCATCGAAGCTGCTGACTCCGCGTTAGAAGAAATGCCACCGCACTAAACCCGGAAGTGTCTGATCAGCCGTGGCTGCTCTTCATTCAACAAGCCGCTGCGGTTTAAAATCACGTTACTTCTCTTTTAACAAGATACCGGACCTTTTGCAGGCACCTGAAGCTTTTGTTTTTAAACAGACTGTGGGAGGACAGGCATGGCTGGTCGGCTCCCYGCTTGTGTTGTTGACTGTGGAACTGGGTAAGTTACCAAAATAAGATGGGAGGCTAGCGGCTAACGCCCTGAAAGCTTCTAAAAATCACACAGTTTTGGCGTTTTAGTTGATTATTTTCGTGCATTTGTCTCTAGATGTATGGCTTAAATCTAAACATTAACACGCAGAAGTATTTCATTTGTTCACTATATGTTTTATATTGTTTTTTGTTACTTTCTAGTGTTTTCAGTTGCTAGCTGCTAAAGCTAATGTTACTTCCTGGATTACTCCCTGGTTTTTGCTTGATCTGTTTTCTGCTTTTACCATAGAGGTAAGTTTTGTTTGTTATATTTTCTTCCACTCCAGGTACACAAAGCTTGGCTATGCTGGAAACACAGAGCCACAGTTCATCATACCTTCATGTAAGTACTCAGGAAACAGTGTTTTACTAGAAAATATCACATCTTATTTCATAAACATAGTTTTAAAGGATACTCCTGTTATTTTAGGTCATTGTTTTTATTTTATAGAGTAGGTTAGGARTACTACATTTTAAAGCCCACCCCTTTTTTTAATTAATTAATTTATTTTGGTCTGTTTTTTAAAATTTGCTTACTAGTTCTTTTTTTTTTACAACAGTTTATTTTATTTTTTATTTTTTAAGTTGCTTTCAGTCCAGTCCTTGTATCTGACAGCCTTAAAGGATATAAGTTTGCCTAAGCCATGTAAAGTTAAACAACAAATCACTCATGCAGTGTTAAGTCATGTAATGCAGCATATAATTTAAAAAAACCTTCTGTTATTAAAATACATAATTACTTCCCTCAAATAGACAAAAACTGCTCAACACATCACAGTTTGACATACCTATAAAAGAGAGAKATTTTCAGTTTTAGGTTGATCATTTAAATTTGTCAAAGATGTTTGATTCAGAATTAACGTTTTTATCTAAATCTATCATTTTTGGTGATTTAAACCCTCGTCTGCATTGCTTGCATGTTCTTCAGGTATCGCAATCAAAGAGTCGGCCAAGGTGGGCGATCAGGCCCAGCGCAGGATGATGAGAGGAGTCGACGATCTGGACTTTTTCATTGGAGACGAAGCCATCGAGAAGCCTTCCTATGCTACRAAGGTGAACACCTGTGGAGCTGTGRGCTTTCTGTTTGAAAGTAGAAATGTTAACGCGGGYTACTTTGCTTGTCGGCAGTGGCCGATCCGTCACGGGATAGTGGAGGACTGGGACCTGATGGAGCGGTTCATGGAGCAGGTCATCTTCAAGTATCTGCGGGCGGAGCCTGAAGACCATTACTTCCTGTTGGTAAGACCCTGAGGCTGACTAGTGCTGAGTGCTGAACAATAAGTCAATATTGATATATATCACAATAGAAAAGGTTTCAATAATAGTGATATGACTTAAAGATTTGATAAATTTACGTTACATCAGTGCATGATAGTGCTCAGCACTGTTTACACCATGCTAACAATGCTAACTACAACACAGCGCCAAAATGAGCTCAACAGTAGTGGGTGAACAAGCATCCACAGTTGGATAAAGAAACAGAAGAAATAGTTGAGATGGATGCAAGTTATTGATTAATGAATTTATCTAAAGTTGATTGAACTCATCAATCGACTAACGATTGATAAGTTTTCTCTTGTATCAAGAGGATCTTTCCATAATATGAAGGGATATATACATATGTTTTTTAGAMTATGCTGAATTTCATAAAAGCATCATTATATTTTAACAATTTTATTCTTCCAGTTGTATTAAATACTGACTGAATAAACAGAAATTGTTATTTGTGTTGGCAGTTTTTCTGATATTTTTATTCATAACGATATAGAAATTAAATTACATCAGCTGAAATTCTGAGTTATATTGTTATATTTATTTTAGTTATATAGTCCAGTCTGACACGTAGTGGAGATTACGTCTCAACAAATGACTGCTGACTGAAAGGACGTTTGAAAATGGGTAAAATTTAGCTCCATTGTCAGCACAAAACAGGCTAATAAAACATGATTTACTGTCTCTATCAAAGGCACAGAAAAGAAAATCAATACAATACAAAAATAAACTGAATGTATCTTCAGGCTAATTAGTTTAATTCCAAAAACACCCAAAATGATTAATAAATATGCTTTGTATTAGGGTTGGGCAATATTGGCAAAAAAGGTTTTTATCACGATTAATTGTGGTATTTAGCCGATAACGATTAATTTGACGATTAATCCCCTGGAGTCCCCGGACACCCTTATGTCCTGGTCACATGACCAATTTAGTGG